AAAAAAAAAAAAAAATGCCTGGCTATTTTTTTTTTTTGTAATTGTCATTGTTTTAACTGGCTGGGCCAGGTTTGAACTCGCCAGCCTCGGTGTATAATGGCCAGCACCCTACCCACTGAGCTATGGGCACTGCCCGTTTATTTATTTACTTATTTTGAGACAGAGTCTCACTCTTTTGCCCTAGGCTAGCTAGAGTAGCATGGTGTCATAGCTCAAAGCAACCTCAAACTCTTGGGCTTAAATGATCCTCTTGCCTCAGTCTCCTGAGTAGCTGGGCCTGGAGGTGCCCACCACCATGCCTGGCTAGTTTTTCTATTTATAGTAGAGAACGGAGTGTCACTCTTGCTCAAGTTGGCCTCAAACTCCTGAGCTTGAGCAGTCCATCCACTTTAGCCTCCCAGAGTGCTAGGATTATAGGCGTGAGCCACCGTACCTAGCCTGTAATCTCATTATTGATTTGCTTTTTGCCAACTCTGAGTGGATGAGAAGAAAGTAGGTGTAGCTGGTGATCTTATACTTATTTATGTAAGAATGTGGTATGTATGAGCATATATCAGTCCTGATGTGGAGGTAGGAAAATTGTTTGAGAATCTCTGTTTCAACATATGCTTTGTGAATAGAAATTTAAAAGAAGACAAGATGTCCCAGCCTGAGTACCACCTATTGGTCTAATTGGTGTAAATAATAACATAGGAATCTTTTTTTCAGGGAATGCTGGCAGATTTTGTGTCCCAGACTTCCCCAATGATCCCTTCCATTGTTGTCCACTGTGTAAATGAGATTGAGCAAAGAGGGCTGACTGAGGTAAGAATCAATAGGGTAAATTTGTTATTTATGTTAATATTTAAAGGGTTTTAAATAAAAATGTCATCTTGATAATAGACAGGCCTATATAGGATCTCGGGCTGTGACCGGACAGTAAAAGAGCTGAAAGAGAAATTCCTCAGAGCAAAAAACGTACCTCTCCTCAGCAAAGTGGATGATATTCATGCTATCTGTAGCCTCCTGAAAGACTTCCTTCGAAACCTTAAAGAACCCCTTCTGACCTTTCGGCTAAACAAAGCCTTTATGGAAGCAGCAGGTAAGGGCAGAGCTTGATACTTGAATGTGGGAGGGAGGTGAATAGGGAGGTGGGGAGGAGTTTTACTCTTTTTATGGCTTTAGCCCCAGCCTTGTATGGTGCCTGAAATATAGTAGGTACTCAAATAGTTTGATGGAAGGATGACTGTATATGTGTTCCCCCATGCCTGTTATCTTTCTCTAAACTGTAATTAATTAAGTTTTTTGGTTGTACTTGTGCTTTGATCAAGTTTTAGGTTGTGCTTTTGAAGTTGGAACTATCTTTGATCTCTTTTCCTCACACCCCACATCTAATTCACTGTCAAATCTTGTCAGCAGTCTTATAAACTATCTCTGAAATTTGATATTTGTCAAGGAATGGTAGTAGTGCTGCTACCACTCTTGATGTACTCTCGCCCCGGAATTGTGTAAGAACCTCCTGATAATCTTCTTTTTATTCATGCCCTCTGAAGTATGATCTTCATATGGGAGCTAGAGTAGTCCTTTTAAAATTTAAGTTAGATGATGTCCCTCTTTCCTCAATATCTTCCAATGGTTTCTCCCCACTTTCCAAATAAAGTCCAGTCTTTCACATGCCTAGAAAGACACAACATGATTTAGCTTCTGGTTGTGTCTCCAACAGCATTTCAGTCAATACCCTTCCCTTCTTTCCTTCCTCTTCTGTTAGACAAAATTTTTGCAATTCTTAGGACCAAGCTTACTTCATCCCTTGAGGCCTTCACATTTGATGTTGTCACAGCCTAGAATGCTCTTACACTAGATGTCGTCATGATTTGCTCCTTTACTTCTTTCAGGTTCCTCTCGTCCTCAGAAATCCCTTTTCTGACTAGTTAATCTACATTAATGGCTCCCATTTATTTCTGCCTTCTTGCCTGCTTTTTTTTCTTTGTAATATGTATTTTGACTAATTCCGATAGTATGTATGTTTTATAAGTCAAGGATTGTTTATGAAGTTGGAGTTAACAGAGTAGCCTAAATCAAGAAGTAAACTAGGCTCAGCACTTGTAGCTCAGTGGCTAGGGCGCCAGCCACATACACGAAGCTGGTGGGTTCAAACCCAACCTGGGCCTGCCAAATGACAACTACAACCAAAAATTAGTGGGGTGTTGTGGCGGGTGCCTGTAGTCCCAGCTACTTGGGAAGCTGAGGCAAGAGAATCACTTGACGCAGGAGTTTTAGGTTGCTGTGAGCTGTGACGTCACAGCACTCTACCGAGGGTGACATGATGAGACTCTGTCTCGAAAAAAAAAAGAAGTAAACTACTCAACTATTCTTTGAGTAATTACATATCTACTTCATATGTATTTGCATTTGACTGACTCCGATAGAACATATGTTCTATAACGCATGGATTGTTTACTTTTGCTATATCCTAATACTTAGGATAGTACCTGGCATCTAGTAGTCCCTTAAATATTTTTTTAAATGTGAATATCTTCTTGATAATTGTAGTCACTGCAGTTGTATGCTTGTCTTCCTAGCATATGGGCTGCAAACTGCTTTCCCTAACTGCAAGGGTTGATTTTTTTAAAAGTTCTGACTTCTAATATTGAGCCGTTGGCCAGTATCCTGCTTGTTAATGAAACTAGAGTCTGATGCAGTCATGAATCTAATCAGAAGTTTCAGAAGCTTACTGTATAGATGAGACTGTGTGGTCGATAACTTTAAAGCCTGCTGTCAAGGGAAAGAAGTCTAGGCCTCTTGGTGCTTTCTTTTCATTTACAGAAATTACAGATGAAGACAACAGCATAGCTGCCATGTACCAAGCTGTTGGTGAACTTCCCCAGGCCAACAGGGACACATTAGCTTTTCTAATGATTCACTTGCAGAGGTGAGTACAGCAGAGACTTGTTCTGAGAGTTAGGGAATTTTCGGAGGGGAAGACAATGTGGGTTGGGTGTTAAAGAGTGTGAGAGTGAATTGTCTTTTTCTAGAATTTATACTTTGGTCTGCATTTAAGTGGAGAAGCAAGTTTCTAATTTAATACTCTTTTGTTTAGAGTGGCTCTGAGTCCACATACTAAAATGGATGTTGCCAATTTGGCCAAAGTCTTTGGCCCTACAATAGTTGCCCATGCTGTGCCCAATCCAGACCCTGTGACAATGTTACAGGACACCAAGCGCCAACCCAAGGTAGCCTTGTGTATATTTGTATCACACACGTATATATTAAATATATGAACTTGTATAACTTGAAAACATGAAAAGTAAGCACTGAGCTTTGGAAGTTTGCTTAACATATTTTAGGTGGTAGAGCGCCTACTTTCATTGCCCCTGGAATATTGGAGTCAGTTCATGATGGTGGAGCAAGAGAACATTGACCCTCTGCATGTCATTGAAAACTCAAATGCCTTTTCAACACCACAGACACCTGATATTAAAGGTTAGACCAACGTTGTGCTTACTTGACTCTTTCTTTTGTTTTATAGTCATGTGTTCTCTCTCTGCCTTTGGTAGAGCTGTTTGAAATTCATGTTCTTTAATAATTTATTTTCAAAATTCTGAAATAAAAATCTATATAATTCCACTATCCTGATACACTTTTTAAAAAAAAAATTGAGACAGAATCTCACTTTGTTTCCCTTGGTAGAGTGCTGTGGTGTCATGGCTCACAGCAACCTCAAATTCCTTGGCTCAAGCAATCCTCCTGCCTCAGCCTCTCAAGGAGCTGAGACTACAGGTGCCTACCACAGTGCCTACCTACTTTTTTTAGAGACGGGGTCTTACTCTGGCTCAGGCTGGTCTAGAACTCCTGAGCTCAGGCTATCTACCTACCTTGGCCTCCCAGAATACTAGGATTAGAGGTGTAAGCCACCATGTCCTGCCCTAATACATTTTTTTATGTTCTCATTTTTTTACCCCATAGCTATGTATTTTTTATATAGATACAATAGTTTTGATATAATTTGTTTTTATTTCACTTAGCATATTGTGAGGATTTTTTTGGCTACCATATAATCTTATTTATCATTTTTTTTTACTGTAAACTATAATTTATTTAAATGTTCTGTTAGGTATTGACATTTTTTTATAATTACAAATAATGCTGTAGCCCACATTATTTGTATATACCTTCCCTACCACTGATACATTCCTAAGAGTGGAAATCACTGAATTCAAGGATTTGAACATTTTTATGTTTTTTGATAATGTTTTACCGACTTGATTTCTTAAAGGCATTTGCCAGTTTATTTTCCCACCAACAATTTTATAGGAATGGGCTGGTTTCGTACCAACCTTACTGATATCTGAGACTCATTCTTTCATTACTTAAAATTCTTTTTTTCTTTTTTGAGATGGGGGTCTCACTTTGTCAACAAGATGGAGTGCAGTGGTACAATCATAGCTCACTGTAACCTGGATTCAAGTGGTCCACCAACCTCAGCCTCCCCAGTAGCTAGGACTACAAGCATGCACCACCATGCCCAGCTAATTTTTAAAAATTTTTAGTAGAGGCTCAGTGCCTGTGGCTCGGGTGGCTGGGGCACCAGCCACCTACACCTAAGGTGGCGGGTTCGAATCCAGCCTGGGCTGCCAAACAACAATGATGGCTGCAACCAAAAAAAAAAAAAACAATAGCCGGGCGTTGTGGTGGGCGCCTGTGGTCCCAGCTACTTGGGAGGCGGAGGCAGGAGACTTGCTTGAGCCCAGGAGTTGGAGGTTGCTGTGAGCTGTGATGCCACGGCATTCTACCCAGGGGGACAGCTTGAGGCTCTGTCTCAAAAAAAAGAAAAAAAATTTTTTTTTAGTAGAGACAGGGTCTTGTTATGTTGTCCAGTCTGGTCTCAAACTCCTTGCGTCAAGCAAGCCTTTTGTTTTGTCCTCTCTCAATGTGCTGAGATTTATAGATGTGAGCCATTAAGCCTGGCCTCAAATTCCTTTTTTTTTTTATGTCACCCTAGGTAGAGTGCCTTGGCATCACAGCTCATAGCAACCTCAAGCTCTTGGGCTCAAGCGATTCTGTTGCCTCAACCTCCAGTTTTTCTTTTTTGTTGTTGTTTTTTGGCCAGGGGCAGGTTTGAACCTACCACCTCCAGTATATGGGGCTGGCATCCTACTCCTTTGAGCCACAGGCACTGCCCTGCCTCAGCCTCCAGTATCTGGGACTACAGGTGCCCATTATTACAACACTGCTTTTTGTTGTTGTCATTGTTGTTTTAGCAGGCCCAGACCGGGTTCGAACCCGCCAGACCCAGTGTATGTGGCTGATGCCCTAACCACTGAGTTATGGGTGCTGAGTCCTCAAATTCCTTTTTAAGGGAAGACATTATTCTAGTATAGGTAAAAGTCAGATGTTTAAATGTTAGATTTATGAAGTTTGGAGCTATTCATTGAGTGGTTAATTGCCTGCATAGTTCAAAAGATATACTAGAGTGTGTGTTACAAATAATGACAAAAATGATCTCTGGGACTCTGCTAAATGTATATTAGCTCTTAAATGCTTCAGAAGATAGCTTAAAACTGGCCATCTAAAAGGGTATCTTTTTTTTTGCCTCCTGTTTTAAAATTTTATCTGAACTTTGGCTGAAGTGAGTTTACTGGGGCCTGTAACCACTCCTGAGCATCAGCTTCTCAAGACTCCTTCATCTAGTTCCCTGTCGCAGAGAGTCCGCTCCACCCTCTCCAAGAACACTCCCAGGTATGCAGAATTGGCCTTCTTAAGAAATAAATGACTGCTTCCTTAGATTTCTTTCCTATCATATTGAAGCTTGTAGAAAGAAAAATTGACTTAGATTTTAGTAGCAGCTAGTGTTGAGAAGGGAACTTGGAGCCATAAAGATTCTTTCTTTAGGCTCGGTGCCTGTGGCTCAAGCGGCTAAGGCGCCAGCCACATACACCTAAGGTGGCGGGTTCGAATCCCCAGCCCAGGCCCGCCAAACAACAATGATGGCTGCAACCAAAAAATGGCCAGGCGTTGTGGCGGGCGCCTGTAGTCCCAGCTACTTGGGAGGCTGAGGCAGGAGACTCACTTGAGCCCAGGAGTTGGAGGTTGCTGTGAGCGTGATGCCACAGCACTCTACCCAGGGGGATAGCTTGAGGCTCCATCTCAAAAAAAAAAAAAAAAAAAAATTCTTTCTTTAAAAATTTTAAGAGTTTTTACTATTAAAAAATATTTTCCTTGTCTGATCTTAGGTGACTAAGAATACCTTACAAAATAGTTTTCCAGGGTTTTCTACTTCTAATGGATTATATAAAGTAATATTATAGTTATTTATTCATCTTTTTTTTTTTTTAAACATAGTCTCATCTCACTCTATTGCCTGGGTACAGTGCCATGGTGTCATAGCTCATAGCAGCCTCAAACTCCAGACTCAAGTGATTCTCTTGCCTCAGCCTCTGAAGTAGTTGGGACTACAGGCACCTGCCACAATGCCCAGCTATTTTTTTTTAAAGATGGGGTCTAACTCTTCCTCAGGCTGTCCTGAGCTCAAGCAGTCTACCCACCTCGGCTTCCCAAGTGCTAGGATTAAAGGTGTGAGCCACCATGCCTGGCCTATTCATCGTTTTTAATAGACTGCTTATCAGTTCATTCTCTTTCTTTCTTTTTTTTTTTTCTTTTGTAGATTTGGGAGCAAAAGCAAGTCTGCCACAAACCTAGGACGACAAGGCAACTTTTTTGCTTCTCCAATGCTCAAGTGAAGTCACATTTACCTATTACTTCCCAGCATTGACTGTAAGAAAGGACACTGTACTTTCAGCTCTGCAGTCTCTTGTACTTATTACTACTGTTAGCATTCTCTAGGCTCTTAAATCTAGTTTAATTGTGCATGAGGGTTTCGTTAAAACTATTCTGTATCTCCCTCTCCTCCTCTTTATGTAACGATATCAGCACCTTATGCCTGGTAATTATTGGGCACTTTTAGATGAGAGATCTTTCCATGTGTAGAAGAGATAGTATGGAATTCATTGTCATTCTTTTTGGAGGAGGGGGTGTGCCCCTTTGGCTTAAAGCCAAATGCTGTTCATGGAATGACCTTTCTCTGATATCATAGAGCTGATTTCCATGAGACAATGACAGGAACTCTTCTGCTCTGGTCAAACTGACTTGTTTTAGGGTGGGAAGGGGGAAGGCAGGTTAAAGAAAGGGTTGGGTAGAGGATTTAGGATAGTACCTTCTCAGAACGCAGAAGTTCCCCTTCCTCCGTTAATGAATTGAGTTATATAGCATGGAGCCTTTTAAAAATGGGATAGATTGAGGATAGAACTAGCAGTGGGAGTGTGCTTAGTTTTAATTTGGATTGATTAGATGTTAATAGTATTAAGTGGCACAACATTTTAAATGTGATAGTACAGCTTGTATTTATCTATTTATCTGGCTAGACTTTGGGTTTGATTGAGTCAAAACCAGTTAGTTCTTCTAAAGTTGAATTCATTCTAAAGCTTGATTTCCCCCTACGAACCTTGTCCAATGGAGCCCTCCTTCTAAAGGTCAGTATGTCTGTTTGGCATCCCAACTAACAATTAAGAGTAGGCTGGAAGGGAAGATTGTCAATATTTCATGTGGTAAGAAAAGCCACAGTCATTTTGTCTTTGCACTTTGGATGCTGAAATTTTCCCATGGAACGTAGCCACATCTAGATAAATGTGAGCTTTTTCTTCTATTAGAATTATTCTTGATGTCTGTAAAAATGGTTTCTTACATAGAATGTTTCTGATTCATACTGACCCTTGTCTATAAAATACATGTTTGAAATAATATTTGGAAAAGAAGTAAATAGATTTTTCAGAATGAACATGGTTTGTTTTCTTGTCCTGAAAGGTAACTTTCAATGCCTTCTAGAAAATATTTTCCTTCAAAGTGTTTTCACTCTGTTGTTCATCTCCATTTCCCATTCTGTATGGTCTCCGCACTCCCCCACCCCCTCAAAAAAACCTTTACCCACCACTAGGGGTTTGTCTCTTCATTTCTCATTTGGGGTCTTTCTTTGTCCAACCTGGAATCCCAGATTTATCTTTTTTGAGGAGCCTCAAGCTGTCCCCCTGGGTAGAGTGCCATGGCATTTCAGCTCACAGCAACCTCCAACTCCTGGGCTCAAGCGAGTCTCCTGCCTCAGCCTCCCAAGTAGCTGGGACCACAGGCGCCTGCCACAATGCCCGGCAATTTTTTGGTTGCAGCCATCATTGTTGTTTTGTCAGGCCCGGGCTGGATTCGAACCTGCCACCTTGGGTGTACGTGGCTGGCGCTTTAGCCACTTGAGCCACAGGCGCTGAGCCTCCCAGATTTATCTTATGCCTGTACTCCTCTTATTTGAAGAAACAGTCACATGTTGCTTAATGACAGGGATAAGTTTTGAGAAATGCATTGTTAGGTGATTTCATCACGTGAACATCAAGAGAGTACTTAAACAAACCTAGATGGTATAATCTGTTACACACCTAGGTTGTAGCGTACTGTTCCTAGGATACCAGCCTGTACAGCCTGTTACAGTGAATACTATAGGTAGTTGTAACACCCTGGTAAGTATTTGTGTATCTAAACATAGAAAAGGTACAGTAAAAATACAGTGTTACAGTCTTACTGGATCACTGTTGTATGTGGGATCTTTTATTGGCTGAAACATCATTTTGTGGTGCGTGACTATACTTTAAACAAAAAACAAACTTTTTAAAGAAGTCTTTAGGGACCATCATGGTGAAGATTAAAAAAAAAAAAAAATCACCTGGCCAGCTAAGTTCCTGGAACATCCTTCATTGCTGGAAGTGACTCTGGAGTGAGCTGGGATGATTAACTAAGGACACCTGCATTTGGAACTCTGAAGCTGGTGAACAGAATGTATCTGAGATTGAACGTAAACAGTTGCAGGCTTAATATGAAACCATGGAGAGAGGAGGCAACCTACTGGCTTTTTTCCCAGGAGGTGGCAGTTCTCACAGCAGGGCCCATCTGCCTCAGCAAATTGACAGAAGATGGGTCCCTTACCCTAGCCCCACCCCCCCGCCCCCATGCCTTAGTTTTTTAAGCTCTGTTCTAGATGCTACTTCTTTTCTTATGTCTTTGCAAACCTAGGGTTGGCCTGGTTCCATATTTGCTATTCTGTAGTAGCTCCCCAAGGTGCCTTTTAAGTCACTAGTGTAGAGGAAGTAAATGGATTGTGTAACGTTAGTGAAAGCAAGACTATCCTGTGCAGGAACTGATGGTCCATTAACGAAAAAGGAAATGGTCCTGTGTCAAGAGTTGGCACCCATTTGCTCAGCTTTTGGTTTAGGCCTAAGAGACCTTAGCCATGAAAATCTGATATTAGCAAAGGAAAATATATACCTACCTTCATCTTTTTAAATAGCACTTCATGTGGTGGCTCACACCTGTAATCTTAGCACTCTGGGAGACCAGCGTGGAAAGATCACTTGAGATCAGGAGTTCAAAACCAGACTAAGAGCAAGACCCCCCTGTCTGTACAAAACACAGAAAATTTAGTTGGGCATGGTGGCACTGTGGCAGGTGGATTGCTTAATAAGCCCAGGAGTTTGAGGTTATAGTGAGCTATAATGATAACACTGCACTCTAGCCAGGGTGACAGCGAAACTGTCTCCCAAAAAAAGTACTTCTTGTGGAATAGCTTGACTTTGACTATATTTCCTTGGTGAGAGCTATGGAAAGGGGTTCAGTGCTTTGGAATGGCCATCTCCCTCATCTCTTACTCCTAACCCTTTCTGACATTGCCTTTTACTCTGCCTTTAATGCAGTTTAACTTTATCCCACTTGCTAATAAATGGAATCTTTAGAATCTTTAAGTCTTGGTGTTTACTTCCATTCTCCTCAATCTCTGTGCGACTTCTGAGTTTGATGTTTATTTAGCTGGACAAGCATTGCATGGGTTTGATTTAGTCATAACAATTTGGGTTTATTATTAGTGTTTAACAATTTTCCCTTCCACCTTCCTTAAGAAGGAGAATTCTTTGTTTGCAGAGATAGAACATAAGAATGCATCTGAGTTTCAAAGTTAGAGGACTTATAGGGTATACGATTGATTACCAAGAGAAAAAAATACTTATTTTTGCCTGTGAATTAAATCTATAAACCTGTAGCATTAAAAGGGGTCTTGCTTTTTTTTTTTTTTTTTTTTGGTAAAAGTGTTTCACTCTGTTTCCCAGGCTAGAGTGCTGTGGCCTTGGCCTAGCTCGTAGCAATCTCCAACTCCTGGGTTCAAGCAATCCTCCTGCCTCAGCCTTCTGAGTAACTAGGACTATAGGCATGTACCATCACACCTGGCTAATTTTTCTATTTTTACTTTTTTTTTTTTTGACAGAGTCTCACTTTGTCACCCTCAGTAGAGTACTGTGGGGTCATAGCTCACAGCAACCTCAAACTCTTAGGCTCAAGTGATTCTCTTGCCTCAGCTTCCCAAGTAGCTGGGACTACAGGTGTCTGCCGCAACACCCAGCTAGTTTAGAAACAGGGTTTTGCTCTTGGTTAGGCTGGTCTCGAACCCATGAGCTCAGGCAATCAACCTATCTCGGCCTCCCAAAGTGCTAGGATTATAGGTGTGAACCACCATGCCCAACCCTCCCTTCCCCATCTCTTAATGAGACAGAGCAGAGACAGGGAGGGGACTTCCCTCACCCAGCTAGACCCCACTGGGACCTCAGGGGTCTTTCATTTTTAAATTCATGCTTAAATTATTAGTCAGTACAAAATGACCAGGAGAGCTGAGTACGGGAAATGAAGATACCAGGCTTGCTATGTTTTTGTTTTGTTAGGGTAGGGCTTACCTGCCTACCTATCTATCTTCAGATAATACATACATACATACATACAAATATATATATATATATATGTATACACACACACACACACACACGTACACATATACATACATATAGTGCCTGATTTCCTGTTGGAAGAGTATTTGTGGGGTCCCACTGCTATACATGGCATGCCAAATGGTTCTTTCAATCATGCTCTTAGCATGAGTGGGGGAAGAGCTGGTGTGGAAGCCCAGATTTGAGAAGTAAAGGTGGGTCAGAGTTCCATGTTTAAGTTGCCACAAGCTCACACAGTAGGTTCTCAGTCAGTATGCTTTGATGATAGTCTTGGTGATGACTCAGGTTTCAGCCACTGGTGTGAAAAGCTATTAAGCATGCAGAGTTGGGGCATGTTAGCCATTGTGCTTTTAGCATAAACAGAGTCTGGAGAATGGCCACTTAACCTAAGAACTTAGTAATTTTGTGTGTGTGTGTTCCCTGTGGCTGGTATATTTTGTAAATAAGTGAAGGCAGCAGGCCAGGAAGTCCCTGACTTGTGTAATTTATTAGACACTTGTTCTCAGAGCTATATTTGTTGATGGTTTCTATTCACAAAGTCAGGTGGAAGACAGCTTGACGTCACCAGGAATAACCTTGTAGTGTGTGGGAGCTTTGTCCTCAGCAGTTGTGTGGGACGGGGAAGGAGGCCACTTTTTAGGGACTCATAGTTGGAAGCAGGAATTTTTCCTTTTGTCTACCTTCTCCCTCTATAACTCTTGCCAGGCTTCATTTAGCTGCATTGTTTTTTATACAGCATTATTCTCATATCTCACACAGTTGGGCACCATCTGTTTGCTAGGCTCAGAATCATGTAAGTGGATACTTAGACTTCTATTAAAGCATTTGCCAGTTAATACCTTCTCTGGTCATCACTGAAGATGGAATTATGAACCCATAAATCCTCTAGGGAATTTAATATGGTGATTTACCATGTACAGAGTGCTTTTATTTATCATCTTTCTTGATCTCACCCATGTGAGGTGGGTAGGACAGGTGATGCTATCCCATTTGACAAATGCAGAAAGATGATTTGGCTCAAATACCCACCAACTAATGTGTAGTTTTCCTGGAGTTAGGACCTGGGAATTTTAGCTTTTATTCTGGAGGTCAGGTAGGGTGCTTGCTACTATAGACTTTAGCATCCTAGGGCCTATTAATGTATCATTAGGTACCTAAATGCTAGGAGATAGGGCAGCACCTGTGGCTCAGTGAGTAGGGCACCGGTCCCATCTACCAAGGGTGGCGGGTTTGAACCTGGCCCCAGCCAAACTGCAACAAAAAAATAGCTGGGTGCTGTGGTGGGCACCTGTAGTCCCAGCTACTCAGGAGGCTAAGGCAAGAGAATCACCTAAGCCCAGGAGTTGGAGGTTGCTGTGAGCTGTGACACCACAGCACTCTACCGAGGGCGATAAAGTGAAACTCTGTCTCTAAAAAAATATTAATAATAAATAAATAAATAAATGCTAGGAAATTTGCTTAGAGCCACTGTTACTTGTAACCCATGTAAGGAAGGTTTGTTCTGCTAAGTGAGAAGCTATAAAATAAGTAAAACTATAGAGAGAGATGATTGTTTAATGCAGGGGTCCTCAAACTTTTTAAACAGAGGGCTAGTTCACTGTCCCTCAGACCATTGGAGGGCCAGACTCCGGGCCCCAGGATGAGTTGGCAGCTAAGCAGGACCGGCAGTGGCGGCAAAAACACCCGGTGGGCCGGATAAATGTCCTTGGTGGGCTGCATGTGGCCTGTGGGCCGTAGTTAGAGGACACCTGGTTTAACATTTTAAGAGTTCTTCCCACCATTATACAAACTTTTGTAAGTCACACCAAACCTAGAGCCATATTTGTTCCACCGAGGACAGTATGTGTGTGGTCATAGTTATGCACACTCAACAAATAACCTAGAAAGAGCAGGGAGACCCAGACTGCTGGAGAAGGCCTTTGGGACAGGATTTCTAGTGGTTGGGGTTATTGTCCAGTAGGATGGAAGCTCT